GCGACTCGTCGTGTCGGGAGCACCGGAACAGGTCGTCCACATCGAGACCATTCTTACGCCAACCCCTCATAAACACCGGGAATACCCATCTGTTTGATAATAATTGTCACAAATGTTTTAAATACAGATTATTTAGGAAATCTTATTTTATAATTAGTTAATTTAATTTTTAATCAACAAAGTTTTTATAATGTTAAGAATATTTTTGATGTCAAAATAATTTGTATAGCATACTCTGACCTAAATTATTAATTAATATAGAGAAATTTAATTAAAAAAAATTAAATGATAACAATAACTTTTATTACATTAAGTGGCATTAACTACACTATTGTAGAAAAGCGTATTTTATAGATTACCATAAGTTAAACCTTGTTTAAGTATCTACAATGAAAATTATTAATTCTAAATTATGTGTCACAAACAAATTCACATAATTTAAATTAGATTAAATTAATATAAACTACAAATCATTTAATTTATATGTTAATTAACTAAGTTTTATAACATATTCATTTTCTATTACCCGGGTCATTTCTAAAAACTTAAAATTATGCGGATTTTAAAATAAATTTTTAGTATGCTATTTTCATAATTATCCATTTAACTAAAATATGATCAAGATCATTTAAGACTTACATGAAAAATATTCGTATTATACCACCGGGACTTGCCCGTTATTTTAGCACCCTCGTCCATTAGTAGTTTTAAAATTAATTATAAATATGTTTATCTGGGGTTAAAATAAATTACTATTGAGATATTTAATTTTGAATATTTTTTATATTTAATTCTAAATAAACTCCATTGACAACAACACTTTTATTAATATAATATTTAATTTTAAACCTTATGAAATTGTATACATTATATCATTTAATACCTATTAACATAATTTATGAAAACACATGTTAATTGTAATATCAACTGGATAAGTAGATAAATAACATAGCAATTTGGAAAACAATTAAAGTTGTGTCAAACATTTAGTTTAATGATATATTAGTAGGGATTAAAAATTACAATAATTTATTTTTTCGATTTAATGTATTTAACTTAAATAAGTTACAGTAATTTATATGTTTATATTTAAGCATTGATAATATTATGTAAATAATAATTAAAATATCATTGAATTCTGTATGTAATATGATTTCTAAAGTTAAGCACCTTTTATGCAAAATTTATTCAATTTAACCATTGTAATTTATTTAATATTAATTATTTACACTCCTAAATATAAAAGATAATATATGATAATTATATTGTTTATAAAACCAATAAATATTATATTATTCATATGGCAGGTTTTATAAAAGTGAAAAGTATACTGTTGATTTTTAAGTAACCGCTAAAAGTTTATTATTTCATTTATCTAATCTATGACATACTGTATGGTGTACAGTACAGTACTGTATTATTATATAATATTATGATTATCCTACTTTATAACATAACATTTACCAAATGTATGATTATTACCCATAAGTACTAACATTATTAATAGCCATTTATGTCCATTATTTATAGTTATATCATTTGGTATAACATAATGATTGAGTAAATTGCTAGTTAAGTTGCTATCCTAAATATAAATATAATTGAAAATTTAATATATTTGTAAATTCATTATACTGCAGTAAAACTTGTTTTAATTATAATCGGCAATAATTATTTTTACTACACAACTGTGAAACTGTGATTAGTTATAGCAAAATGTCATTAACTACTAAAAAAGATAAGATATTAAAAACTACTTTGTATCAACACAAATATTAAACAAAAGATTTTATTAATACTGTATATATAAAATAATATAAAATCTGTAATACAATTAAACATATTAATATTCTTTAATTTATTAAAAATTTATAAATTCATATTATTAAGAAAACTAACTTTGAAAGCATTATACAGCTAAAATGTGTTGATTATAAATTATTAGAAGAAAAATCAATTTTCTCTATTAAAGTTATATTTAACTAATCCTCTTTTATATAGTATTTATTATATTAGTTATAATATACAATAAATTAATCTAATAGTAATCGATACAACTTAAGGCTTATAAAATATTCATATCTTAAAGTAATTGAGAGATTATTACCCGCAACTACTAACTTGTAAGATAATAATCGCCATTGTTTATGCCTTAATTTAATACATTTTTATTATATAATTATTTTTAATTGTATACTTACACAAGGATACTATGATCTTATTATAGTATTAATAAATTATTACTAACGCTATTAAATTTGTATTATACAAGTGAAGTGAGTTATTAGTAATGTGAAATGTCATCAAACATTGAGAAAATTGATATTTCTAAATACATGGATACAAATCTGAAACGACACATTTTATTATTTCATGTTTTCAAAGATGAAAGAGAGACCAAAGAGAGAAGCATTTTGTTCGTTACCACAGATGACATTGTTTATGGGTTGGGATATAATAGATATGCACGTCTTGGATTGGGTCACAACCAGTCCATTTATTCACCGCAAAAAATACCAGAATTATGTCATCAAAAGATTCACACATTTATTATCGGATATGAATTTGTGTTGGCCATGAATACAGTGAACCATATTTATAGTTGGGGCTACAACATGTTTGGACAGTTAGGCAGGTATGGGACACCAGTACATGATTATTGTAAACCAAACAAAATATCGTATTTCGACGACAAAGATGTCCAACAAATCAGTTGTGGTTATCATCACTCACTGGCCCTTACATCCAGTGGACAGGTGTATGGGTGGGGTCGTAATAGTATGGGACAGATAGGCTGTGGAGAAGATCGAAATGAAACAATTTATGAACCAATTCTTATACGATTCCCGAATAATCATAAAGTGAAAATAATTTTTTGTTACGCTACCTACTCATTTGCCATTACATTATCCGGGTTGGTATTCAGTTGGGGTGATAACAGCGAAAATGCGTTGGGACATACCATCAACACTGAATACATATTGACCCCACGATTGGTATCAACGCTAAATGATATCACAACTATAGCTTCATTCCTTGGTAAAACATATTTTTTATCAAACACGGAATTTATATATTTTTGTGGGAAGGACCAAAAAGTTCCGATCAAATATGTGAATTTTAATGTACAAGAAATGTCACAATTTAACTCAGATGGGTGGTTTGTTATAAGTGTTTTAGTAGATAATAAAATTTATAAACTAGATGATATAAGTGGATATCAGAGGCACGAACTAAACATATCTCTTGAATCACATTATAATAATTTTAATGATTTCTACATAACTGAATACCAAATAACATATAATACAGTTATAAATTCATTAAGAATTGATTACACAATTGATCTTGGTGATCTTATTGCCATTGGCTCTGGTGGTTTTGGTACAGTATACCGAACTAATCATAATGTTGAAATTGCAATAAAAAAGATTGATTTTGACGGTATTTATAAATGTTAAATCAAAATAAATTATAATTACATTGATTTAAACAGGTTTGTCAGAACATCACAAACAAAGAGTATTCAAAGAAGTGGAAAGTTTAATGAAAGTTAATTCACAATATGTCGCAAAGTATTACGATTCCTGGACTACAGATAATTGTCTTTACATTCAAATGGAGTTATGCTCACAAAGTCTTCGCAATATTCTTGAAGTCAAACCACAAGTATTTGAGAGAATACCCGGAGAACACATGGATTGTGTCGAGTATTTCATTTCGTGTGAAATATTTCGACAGATCTTAGAAAGCGTTCAATATTTACATGAATTGAATCCACAGATCATTCACAGAGATCTCAAACCCGACAATATATTGATTACGAAGAATGTAAGGAACGGTAGATTTATTAAGTTATGTGACTTCGGTTTGGCTACAGTTCACGAGAAACGTATTCATTACATAACAAAACACAAGCACACGGCAGATGTGGGGGACACCCGGTATATGCCTCCAGAGATACTCAATGGTAAAAATTATGGCCATAAATCAGACAATTATAATGTGGGACTAATTGGCGGAGAAATATTTGGTTTCGACTTATTTTCACTTAATATTAAAAAGTATACAATTCATTTATTTGGAAAGTTGTGATTGACACAATTATTTTATTGTATTATAGTCGGCAACGATATTCAACCACATTTCCTATACTAAACGCACCGGTATTCCAGATGCAAAAAGTATTGGTTTCTATGATTACCACGAATTGGACGGAAAGACCGGAATGTCGTGAAGTGTTACACAAATATAACGAGTGGTCTATCGATAGGAATATTATATTAGAAAACAATTCCGGTATAATAGTGAATCGACTGCAATCACACGAAAACTCATTTTTCAGTGATTTCTATCTATCAATGCTTAATAAACCATCAGGTCAATTATCATTAAAACAAAAATTAAGAAAACTTTTTAGTTAATTTATAATAGATTTATAATAGGTTTCTATCTATTTATTCTGATTAAGGTTTCATATCTAGTTCTGTATTAAAAGATCATTTTCACAAATTTGTATTAAAATTAAAGTCTTATATAATTAATTTCATAATAAAATGATAGATTTTAGTTTAACATTGTTAACGTAACAGTTAATGTGATTAATAATTATTAATTACAGTTTACAACTTAAATCTAATGATAACTCATTTTTCAATCAATTTTTATCAACACTTTCCTTATTTTTGAAATTTATTATGCTTAGCTAGCTAATACCACTAAATATAAATTTATGTTTGAATATTTTACCATTGAATTTTCCATAGACATTAATAATAATTCCTTATATTCAAGGGTGATTTGTGAGAAAACCACAAGTCCAATTTTAGCATACTATACCACATTTGAAAGTTCAGACTTTACTCTTCAAAATTGCTATGTTAAGATTTTACCTATCTCCTTTTACTCATCTTGAAAATCTACTCTGCAAAAGTGTCCATTTAAATGATATTTTTAAATGGAACAAAAATTTGGTCAATGTAGATTTTAAAATGCTATACTTTACCCTTATAAACCCACTTTACAGTAATATGCTAAATCTTCTAGTTTTAGAGATATAAGCTCGCAAACTTGGAACCTCATGGTGAAACACGCTGTATGATACAACTTTCATTAACACAGAAAGTATTTAAGAATTTAAAAATAATTAAAAAATAAACTTATTAACTAGTAAGTAATTAATAATAAAGTTTAAACTATTTATTCTTATCATAATTTCATATCTAGTTCTGTAATAAAAAAGAGATTATTAAATATTTTTTGATTTATTAAAATATTTTAAAGTAATGCTTTCATAGTCTTACAAAATTGATTTGATAATAAAATTTATTTAATTGATTTTAGTTTAATAGTTAGTAATTATTATTACAATTAGAGAGAGAAAGAGAGAGAGAGAGAGCCACCAAAAAAGTTTAAAACTTATAATTAGCGCACGTTTTGTATGTAAGCCTCCATTGTATTGTACACATGTTTTGCGCGCATTTGTACGAAACAACTGTTGTTTTGACAGTCAGTGCACTCATTGCACCGAAACATGGGATCAATTAG